AAAACAAAAACAATAAGATATGTATTATTTGTGAATTACGAGGAAAGTTATGAGATTACTTTTAGTTGAACACAGACCAAATTAGTTGAAAATAACCAGACATTTTATTGTGATGCAGTCACCTGCACTTTTACAACTGATTCAGGAGAATTCATTAACGAGTAAGATTTTTAAGTTTAATGTTTGTGAAATTTTATAATTACAGAGGATTAATGTTGTATTTTTTTATTAAAAATAACAAACAAAAATTACAAGAATCTGCAACGCCTGCTACCAAAAATAAAAATCAGCCATAATATAGAATTATTTTATCATGCTTTCCTCTTCAACAATTATCCTTAAATCAAGAATACTATAGATGATTTTGTAATATGAAAAATTATTGTACTTTTAATAAATGTTTTAATTTTCTTTTTCATTAGAATCAATACTTCTAGCATTAATTTCTTTGGGAATTTTGTGAATTAAGTAAAATAGTTGTCGACTTTCAAAAGACATAATGTTATATACTACTGATTTTTTTTCAGTCCCTCCGCCCATAGTAGTACCACTAAAAAATAGCCGAACCTAATTAAAAAAGTCCATTAGCAAATATAATAAAAATAACTTTTTAAATAAATTTATAAATTACCTGATTATGTTTTTTTTTCAATGCTAGAGGTAGAAAAAAGTCGTAATGATAAATTTTTCATCTTTAATTGACGCATAAATTGATGCATGTGTTGTGTGAAAATATGCTTATAGGGGTTACATCTTGTTTGCGATATAATCCAGATTTTTGTGATGTTGAATTGGGTTATCCTTCAGTTGCACAATAAAAGGTACAGATCTATAGTTTAGCATCAAATTCAAACGCATCAATCTCTTAATCCAGGAGAAAAGATTTCCTTAAAATTTTATAAAGCTGAAGAAATTCCTTCCATAATTTTTCAATTTCTTGTTCACGAGCACCAGAAATAAACTGAGAAACTGGAAAACATTCCAATACTTTCTTCTTATCAGGGCCTATCAAAGAAGTCCAATCCCACTTACCACCAGTAGATCTAGATTTGAAAAACTCGAAATGAACTTTAATGTTTTTCATTACTTGTTTAAATCTCCAATTTAATTTTTTTTTCAAATTCTTTTTTTTTAATTATGTTATTAAAAAAGCATTCCATCAAAACATCAACAATGCGTAATAATAAATGCAATTCATCAGGAATATAATTTTCCTGATTAATTGCAGGAAATAATATGGGTTTTCTGTTTTCACCTAATTATTAAAGTTAAATATTAATACTGTTAAGTAATTTATATAGAAGTAATTAATAAAAAAAGAACTAGAACCTTACAAACATGATTTCTAGAATTTTCAAAATTTTGATCCATATTCCAACGTATTCCTGATTGACAGTTACAATATAAACAAAAATATTTCGAATTAGAAGCATTTAACCCCATTATTATGTACATAAACTTCCAGTCACCTGAAAAAAATAATTCTACTGGCCAATGAATTTCATCTTTATCATATATTCCATTATTTTGGAGATCAAGAAGTTGATATTGAAATAACTTTCCTATTTTAGCAAGATTATAATATTTTTCTCGTCCAACATAAAGACAGGCACTAGAAAAATTTATTAATTTAATTTAATTTAATTTATTGGTTATCTAATTAAAATAAATCTGTAAAATTACCAATATTGATGTTCTGGTTTTAAGACTTCATCACCTTCATTTAAAAGACAAATAGTTATCATCACATGGCTTTATTTACGACCAACATTACGACAATCTCCACCAAGCTTAAGTTTAAGTGTATCACCAGGATTGATAATTGCAGGAGATGCTTCTTTCCATATCAGAATTAAAGTTTGTAACATCATACAAATTGATCTATATGCGTCATTTTCAATTTCCGTCTCATCAACTATTATATCATTATCAGATTCTAAATTATTTAAACAGATCATTATCATCACTTTTATCGATGTTAAATATTCTAATTTTAAGGTCTTTATTAATAAGATTTGTAATTTCAATTCTATAATTAGCTATTAAATATTCGCGTACAAGAAATGCTTCAACTCCGATATCCATCTCGTGCTAACAATGATTCATTATAAGCCTTAACAATAGCATCTATTTTAGTAAGTTCACTTTCATTATCAGTTGACTTGTAAGTTAAAATAATAATTTCGCCATTAAAATTTAATTCAATTTTATAAATATGAACAATTGGTTGATGTTTTTCATTAGTCATTTGATATTTCTTAATTAAAGATCTAATTGCCTTTCCTGACTCCCTGTCTAAAGATGCAAATCTTTTTATTTTGCCTTGAGATACTTTGAATTGTTGCTAAAGGTCGTTTTCTTTTATTAGTTAATGTAATAGGAGTGCTAATTTCTTTTAAGCGATATTCATGCAATCGTCCAATATCAAATCCAAAAATGTATATACCTGACAAACTAGAATTTGGGCAATTATTTTTCTGTACAATTAAAATCAACAAAAAAAATTAACTGTTAATATTAAAATTATAATATATAAATAAAAAAATTAATAATACCTTTAAAAATGTATTAATGACACTAGTTGCAGAGCGATCACTATATATACTCCACTCTGATCTATTTTCTTTCTACACTACTGTAAACCTTACTTTTCCATTTGGTTGATATTTTGTTTCACAACGAATCTTTATTTTAGAAACCTCAGTTTCAATACTATAATTATCAGGTATCTGATATTGAATACAATCTTTAGAATTTTTTTGTGTAAATTTGACTGGTGTCGGATAGTATCCTAAAGACACTACTTTATACCAAAAATAAAAAGAGCAGTTTCTTGATATGTATTATGCTATTATAAAAGGACTTGTAGGATATTGATGTGAAAAATTTTTCGTAGAATAACCATCTAAAAAAATACTTTATTAGATAAGATTAAATTAAATATTTTACTAAATGATCATTAGTTTGATACTTATAATAAAGTACCGTTTATAAAAAATATTTCGCTTTGGTTACTTTCTTGACTCCCTAATATATATGCCATTTTAACACAAAATACGCGTAGAAATATTTTTTTATTATAATTAAAACTAACTTCATGATGAAAAAATTTAAAAGTTTATTCTCTAACTCTTTTTGATGCCGCAAAATCAATTTGAAACTGATTTGCAATTTGCGATTGCAGTTATTTTTATTGAACGAAGATTGGTTCTACGAGATAATGTTACAGATTTTTATTATAATATGCAGTTTATATGCATTGTAATATCACGTTACACCAGATTTTATCACCTAAAATTATTATGTGATCAGACTCAAATCAGCCCATATGATGATATAATTAAATAAAATAAACCATTCTGATTTAATAAGAAAAAGAAAATATTTTTTTATCCTTTCTGATTAAAAAAATCATTAGAATTATTCAAATTCCAACTTTTATTACTTTAAGATTAGTATTAATGATTTAAAAAATGAAGATTTTATCACAATTATACAGAATATAAAAATAATACTTAAAAGATTAAATTATAAATAGCAGGTATAGTTTTAATCTTAGGTTTTAATTGCTATAATTTATATTGTTAAAGAACTAAAATATATATATATCAATATATTTATTGCATTTTATTTTTTTTTAAGTAATTTTATTTTTTTATTAGAATATATTACACCTTTATTTTGCTTTCTTTTTCTATTATTTATTATTATTTTTTATTTTTTATAGATAATTTTTTTATTTTCTTAAATAAATTTTAAGTTTTAAGTATCATTTATTTTAAAAATATAAGATATAATTTTTTTACCTTATTTCTTCTTCAAATACTTCTGATTATACTATATTCTTGAATTTTACAGTAAATCTAATATAGATTTATTTTATTTTAACTATTTTTATATAAAAATAGTTGTATATATCATTTAAAAAAATAAACACAATGTCATTGTGATTTTTGAGACAAAGTTCCTTTACCTCCACTGACATTGTATTCTCTGTTCACTCGTAAAATCTATATTGATTTTTCTACTATACTAGAACAACTTCTACGTTTTCTAGCTAGCTAAATTCTATATAAATAAAAAATAAGTCTTACAAAAATAATATATCAGGAATTGTTTCTGCATTAGCTAGCTAATTAAATAATATAATTTTATTTTAAATCATACAAAATAAATCATACAGAAAATTTTTGTCACAATTTTTCCAATAATAAGTCATACGAAAAAATAAGTCATACAAAATTTGTAAATAAGTCATACGAAAAAATTTTTGTTCCAACTCCTCCATAAAAAGTCATATAAAAATATATATCAGGAATTATGCTTAATAACTCTTAAAGGTTAGGAAATATAATAAAAATTTTTTGTCTTAATTCCTTCTATAATAAGTCATACGAAAAAAATTTTGTCCTAATTCCCCCCTTATAAGTCATACAAAAAATATATATCAGGAATTATGTTTAGTGGCTTTCAGAGATTGAGAAATATAATAAAAATATATCATATGAAATTTTGTCCCAATTTCCCCTCAATAAATCATATAAAAAATATATAACAGAAACTATCTTGAAGGCAGGTTAGCCAAATAAATAACATATCGATAACTTAAATCTAATTAAAATTTGCAATAAAGTTATAGTCTTAAGTCTTTTATTAATAAATCTAACTTATCTCAATGCACTAACCTGTCATAATCCCGATCTTAGTTTAAAGCTTTAGCTCGCAATCTATTATAGTATTAAATTACATAATATCCCTTAATATATAATAGACATCATTCATAAGTAGAAGTTGTCGGCTTATTACAATCAGAGCAAGATACTCGTTTTTTAGCTTTCTAATAAAATCGATGTCCTTCAGGCTTAATACAAGCTCTTTCACAAGCCATTCTAGAGTTGTAGAGATAAAGACACGAATATTCACCAATTATTTTGATAAGTATAGGAATTAATTAATTAAAGAAAATATTTTATAAGTAATTAATAGTGCAACAGTAAGAAATGGTTAAAAAAATTAGAAGTGATAAAAAAGATACAACATGTAATCATTGTAGTAGAATTTTAGCAAATCCTAATAAACTTCATAAGCATTTTAAAAGAAAGAATCCATGTAAAGCCAAAACTGATACTCCTATTTAACCTCCTATTTAAATGCCTATTTAAACATCTATTCAAGCTTCTATTCAAGCATCTCCTATTCAAAAAAGTAACCAATAGTTCATTCAAGAGGTACTTGTTTAAATACCAATTCAAATTTATAAAGAAAGCAATTAAATTCCTGAACCTGAACCTTTGGTAAAAGTTAAAAAACTGCCTTTAAGAAATCAATCAGTACGTACAATATTAGCTATAAATAAGCATTCAGAAGAAAGTCTTAAAGAATAGACAACTTGTCTTACAGATAGAATTAATGAATTTACTAGTGTAAAGTAAGATCAAAGCTAGGTAAGATTAAGAAAAAGACTTCAAAATGCTATTGAAGTCAAATATAATAATAATATTATAAGTGATCCAGAAGTGTGACAAGAAAGGAAATGTATAGGAGGTCATCAAGTGTAAAGGAGATGGAAAAATGATGAAATTGTAGGAAATATTTGACCAGAGTCTGTTTTACCAAACCCAGTTTCAGAAGTTGATCCACAAACCAGCTCAGGATCTAGAACACATATTAATAAAGAATTTAGTCGCTTAGGAGAAATTACTGATCGACAAAAAAGAGACCTAGAATTTAGGGAGTAAGAAGAATTAGGTATAGCATTTAAAAGAAGAGCTATAGCTGTATATCGTGTAAAAGTTCCAAAATTACATCCTAATAATAGAAGTGATATATAAAAAATATTAGAGAGTCAAAGAAAGCAGTTTAAGGAAGTACTTGAAAAGGAATTTGATAAGCGTGAACAATTTAAGTTTTCTTTATATTCTTTTACTAAATTTCTTATAAATAATAAGCCTGGAAATGAAAAGTCTGAAAAAGAAAAGAACTCATGAAGAGACTGGCTCAGAAATAAGCAAATTATAGTTTACAATCGAACTGAAATAGATAACTATTTAAGCAATGCTTTTGAGCAAATCTTATATCAAGTAGAGGAAAGAGGAGATAAGTCTAACGTTTGAGAATATATTTAGGTGGTAACATTGTATCTGGTGGAACTATTTGGAGTTTTTCTTTCACAAAAGAGTGTTTAAGATCATTATAAAGTTTATAAAGAACTGGTTGATTTTCTTTTATCAAATATGAATCAATCATAAAGACTTCAGGAGACCAATTGCAATCAATTGCTCTTTTTTTTCAACCTTCTAATTCACCAGATTCTAAGAGATGATGAATTTCAGTATAACTAGATAAAAGTGATTCATTATAACCAACTGGACTTCTATGTTTGACAGAAGGTTTAGCTATTATTTTTTTACCTTTTAATGCTCTTTTCACAGCTTTGTTAGAAGATATTCCTATTAACTTAGCAGGCGTATTATTAAAAATATTATTATAAACATGAAGACTTCTAACCCATGTTCTGCATCTTTCAGATAAAGGCAAATAAAAATCTATAGCATCTTGCTGAAAATAAGTATACTTTTCAAAATCTTGATGGTCACATTCAGCAATAGCTACTTTACATTTAGAATTAGCATACTGAATTTTTACATCATAGCTAAACAATAAATCCTTACATTCGCTCATATATTCAGTATTCCATCTATAATAAAAATTTCAGAATACATAAGAGGGCAGTTTGGATCATCATAAATTTTTTGAATTTTCTTAGCTATTTGTACAGATGTTTTATCAGTCAAAGCAAACTACGTCAAAATCTAGTTACAACATCTTTTATCATTCCTCTATACTTATAAATCTGATTACCTATTTTGTCATGAGGCATAGGTGTAATATCAGACTAATATACTTTATCAAAAATTTGTATATTATTAAAAGAAGTATATTGGATAAACTTTGGTTAAAGTATATGAATCTGATATATAGCTTGTCTCTCAAGCCAATTATATACTTCATTTAAAGTAAAATTGAACCCAGCTTTTTGAGAAACTTCAAATAATTTTTTTATAGTCCTCTGTAGCCTGAAGGCTGATAATAAATCTTTTGCAAATTAATAGATATATCTAAATTTCTAGCTTTACTCAAATCTATTTGAATAATAGGAATCAATGACTGCTTGATGTATCTTATTAGGAATAGTAATAGAGCTAAAACTTACATATAGAATATATTTTGGTCAGGATTTATGAATCTGATGCATAGCTTGTCTTTCAAGCCAATCATGCATTTCATCTAAAGTAAAATTGAACCTAGCTTTTAAAGAAGCTTTATGCAATTTTTTCGCAGTCTTCTGATAACCTAAAGGCTGGTAATAAATCTTCTACAAATCAATAGATATATCTAAATTTCTAGCTTTACTCAAATCTATTTGTATAATAAGAATCAATAATATAAACCTGGCTTATATCGAAATCTTTAATACTAATAAAAAGTTGCGTAAAAAATTGGCAAATGAAATAATCTCAAATGATATTTCCAATAAAAGCTTAAAACTCTTAATAAGGAGCCAGATGCATGCTATAAAACTATATTTCAGCAAGATTCTACAATCTTAGTTCATGAAGATGAGATAGCATCTCTTAAGACTGAGATCAAATCTCTTAAACAGCATTTTTACAAAGCATTATAGGATTTAAGGTATAAAGGTAATGAAAGTACTTTCAAGATATCTATATTTTAAGACTAGAAGACATGGTTGAACAGCTTAAGAAGTGAATTAGGGAGATTACAGATAAAAAATTATTCCAAATAAGTAGTTTACCTTAAGAGATATTGCTACAGCTATAGATCGTATTGAATTATATGTTAATGGAGATAGATCATTTGACCCTAAAAATACCTTGAATGGTATACGAATAACATTAACAACTGTTCATGCTCATATGCAAAGGGTAGCAAATGAGGCTTTACATTACCAAGGTTTGCTTAATTAGCTAATGAGCAGATCAATAATCTTATGAATAATATGATAAATTTTAGAAATGAATGTTTTCGAAGAGCTCAATTATTAACTTTAGCATATAATAATAAAGCAAATGAGCATTGGGTATAATGGCTTAGGACTCAGAAAGCAGAAAGACATAACTATATATTATTACAAGAAAAGGTAGGCCTTCAATTAATAAATCAAAGGTACAAAGCTGAGGCTGATTTGGCAGAATTCAATCGGGCATAAGTATTTAATAATACTAAAAATGGAAGGCTAGAGAATTAAATTCATGACAAATTATCTTGAATTTACAAAATAACCCTTCAGGAAATATGGCAGGAATTCAAGATGTTATGAATGCAATAGCTCCCTTATTGGTTAGAGAAGAACCATATGTAAGACAAGAAGCGCCAGATGATTATTTTAATAGAATTAACCAAATATTGGCTTATGGAGATACATTAGCTGTAGGAGCATTTAATCCTGTTATGAAAGTAAATGTATTAGCATTCAAAATGGCAGAAAGATTTGTGTCTCCTAATCCATTCAATAATAGTGCAGAAGTTGCTAATACACTTGCATTATTTTAACAATGGCTTTGAGACATATATCAAATAATGATGATAGGCGCTAATCAAACATTATTAAAAGTGCTTAATCATGAAAAATTTAATATTTCAGATTCACTAGAGACTTATAAAAAAAGGATTAAGCCATATATGCAAGGTAACCTACCCAATAAATTAAGTATAAGAATGCGAATGATTGCTTTAGTAAACTTAAATGCATACTTTCAAAATTTACGAACCCTTTGACTAGAATGTGATGGTTAGATTTGGGAAGAATCAGAAAAACCACATATACAGCAATTATCATCTTCTCATGTTATACAACTGCAAAAAGATTTATTAGCTGAAGAAATTAAAGTACTTGAATTTACAAAGTAACTGGTAAAGGATTTAGATTATACAGGAATAGCAATAGATGTTGATACTTACGTCCATATATTTATAATGATCTTACAAGAAGGCTAGGCCTTAAAATATTAGTATATAATAGAAAAAGTTCCTTTTTAGAATCACAGGTTAGAAATACAAATGCTATAAAGAAAGCTATTAAAAAGGTAATATAAAAATAGTAGTTAAACGAATTATTACCCAACAAGTTATTTGTTACTGCTCAGCTTGTGGGAAGGTCAGCCATACAAAGGTTAATTGTCCTAGAGTTAAGCAGACTAAAAAGGTTAATTTTGTATACCATGATGAGGTAAAAGAGCCTGAAGATCCCGAAGAAGAATACATAGAAGAATAAATATTGGAAGAGGAAGAGGATCCTGAAGAAGAGGAAGTAGAAGAAGATGTCGAATATGTTGATAATGACGAATCTACCCTAAGTGTTGTTAGTGATAGTCTAGTTATGACGCATTAGTACTGCGCCAATTACAATTAGCGAATGATGATCCCGTCGATCAT